AAGGAAGGAAGGAAGGAAGGAAGGAAGGAAGGAAGGAAGGAAGGAAGGAAGGAAGGAAGGAAAAAAAGAAGAAAAGGTGTGGAGGAGCTTAGCTCCACAATGGTAAGAAAGGGGTATCCTTAGGTAAACTGGAGAGGCACAAATAGAATCACCCTTAGACTGGAAGACACGCGTCCCACTTGGTGTACAACAACGTGAGCAAAACCCACCAAGAGGAGAAACAGGAAAAGGATGATGGAGTATCATTCAATGGCTGGAGCGATCAATGTTTTTACTATTTATGTTGTAGCCTTCTGTATCTTCTGATTCTACCAAGCTGTGATAATTTAGCACATTTCTGCCATGTCTCTGGGGGCACCCCCTTGAGCAGCAGTGTGTCGGGGTACAATGCACTGTGAGGCCCGCTCCACCTTTCCATGCAGAGAAAAAGAGAGAATCGCCCTTTGGGGTGCACAGTGGTAACTCATTCTGCACAGAGCCCAAAGGGGAAGGACGGCCTCCAGCTCTCCTCTCTCCTCACATTCTCACACATGCCTCCCCTCTCTCTCCCCAGCTCCACCCCTAAGCCTTCTTTTCCCTTTTCTCTGCTAACTCTTCGGGATTACTGCTTTTTGCCCACACATACTTGTATCGTTAAGTAGTTTATATGGCTTTGTTTTCTAATTACCTCATAATAACCCTGAATTTAAATCAAGTTCTGCTCACTGTATCACCGCTGACTTTTATTTAGTGTACAGGACACCCAAAAAATATGACCTCCAGGGACAGATGGTTCTGCCAGCCATGCTTCTGTAAATGCCCAACTCAGAGCCACCATCTCTGGCCAAGGAGACAGAATTAAGGCCATAGAAATGCTGAGCACAGGTTAAGCTGTGTGCTTGGGAGGAAGCTTGCATTCCTGCGCCCCAGCTGAGGAGTCAGGTAGCACAAAAGGAGGAGGTCAGGGTGTTGGTCAGGCGCTAAAGCCCACACTAAAAATTTGAAGCTCAGTCTAATAAACAAAGAACAAATAAATATAAGGCAATATGTAGGTTTCAGAACTACTAGCTGAAGAAGATATATTTGCAACTGATAAAAATGAATTAATTGGGTAAATTAAATATTTAGATTATTATAAACATTGTTTTTAAGGATTTTCCTGTGAATATGGGAGCAACAAACCTTAGATTAGGGATGTAGAAAAGAACATCATGAGGTATTCCCAGCCTCTGCGTGCAGTTTTCAAGACTCTGCTGCTGGGCTTCCCTCTTTCCTGCAATGGAACTGAGACCTCAGTTGTGGACCATTTTGTGGAGCAACTTCTTTCATTTCAATAACTCTGCATACAATGACTCACTTTCAATTCCTATTTTCTTTCATTTGTAAGATTTGCACAGAGTCCAATTTTATTTCTGCTTGAAGCTTCTGATTCTACTATTGCATAGATATCCAATAATCATACCACCTGTAATCAATTTGGTTGTTTGGTTCTACATCAAAGTACTTAAATGTCACCTTTCCACAAGAGCTATGACAACAAAATTAGTTGTATATAACTATATATTACATTATAATAACATTTAATTATAACAGCATGCAATTATATTATCTAATTATATATTACATTATATAAACATTTACTTATAGATTTACCAGCTATATAAAAATGAAACGAAGTTAAAAGTGAATAAGGACAAAGCTCAGTATTGATGTTATAACAGTGAAAATCATTAGGTGAAAGCAACTAGTCATCTATATCTGTCTCTATGTTCAAATACATGGAGTGAAAACTATATTTAATTTCTAACACAAATTATAAAGACTAGATGGAGCTTTCTGGTCTGTGTCTAAAGCTTCAGGTGGTCGCGAGGGGTGGGCTTTTCAGAGGTGAGTGAATGTGGAGTTCTTGATCGATTCATGGTCCGGGGCTGAGATGAAGGGTGGAGTGCTACACCGCCCAGTGAGGGTGTCCTGCACACCATGTACGGGGTGGAGAGAGGCAGCTCCTTCTCTCCTCTCCTGTTGCTTTTGCTCTTTTCTGCCCACTGCAAGTTTCTCTGCTCAGTGAAGCCACCCTGCCTTGGAGCCAGCCGAGGATGGGCTGAAACCTCCGCAAACCGTGAGCTTACTAGACCTTTCCTCCTTTAGCTTCAGTGTTGGGTATTTTGTCCTGGCGACAAGAAGAGTT